GTATGTCTACTCAGCACCTGTGTGAGTGCAGTTAGCAGTACAGATGGCTTTACTTACTCCATATAATAACAGCCCTCATTCTCTAACAATCATATCAATTTGCTCTATGATTGAATTAATTCTCTCCAGCAGCCAAGCAATTTGTCTTTAGTTTTTCAAAACTAAAATTTAAAGTCTGTTGGTACTGCTTGCAGATGGATGCAGTCTCTCTTCCTGGTGAGCACCATGAGGAAGTCTGGATGTGGCCAAAGCACTCTCTCTTCTTACAACACTTAAACAAAGGACCTTGCAAAATGAGAGGAATCAATATGGAACAGTCACTGGAAGGTCTCTCTGCTTTCTTGATTCAGAAAACAACTCATGCATATGCTCAAGGAAAGAACAAAGGCCTCCAAACCCATTTAAGACTTGTGACGGTGCTATATAAGGAATGTGAGCTGAATAGCTATTAGAAGGTCAAGGCCTTCACATATAGCCTGCAAGGTCTCCCAGCTAATCTATTTGGGACTATCAATAAGGCCATTTAGATGTGCTTGGGCCAGAGGATCTGTTTGCAAAGAGTGGCCCAAAACACATGCCTGGAACAGGAAGATGTGCTATATACAGTCCAGGCCTAAAGGTTGGGTCAGGAGGAATGGAGATACCCAGGGCAGAGGTGTGCAAAATATGGCCTGCAGGCCAGATCTGGCCCACGGAAAGGCTTTGTTTAGCCCGCAGCAGGTCCCCCAGGCACTGTCTGGTGGTGGTGTGTCCTGCCGCCCCTTGGGCATGCAGCAGAGCAGCTCCATGGCTTGATTGCCTTCCTAGGCAGCCCAGGCAGCAGCCCTGCTGCTGCTGGCCCCAGCCCTGCTGCTGCTGGCCCCAGCCCTGTAGTACCAGCAGGGACCTGCATGCATAGCCCTGCCTCGCGCCCAATCTGGACCTGCTTGCTCAGGCTCAGCAGCAGCAGCGTGGGACAGAAGCTATTGCTCAGCGCAGGAGAAAAAAAAAGTGTCCCCTCCCCCTCACCACTGCCAGGCTCTTCCTGCTGCAGCCTATGCTGGGCTGCCCTGGGTCTCCGCTGTCATCATTGCTGCCTCTGGGCTGCCCAGTGGGGCAGCAGCTGCAAATGCACACAGATCAAGACAAAAATAATTTTAAAAATAAAATTAAAGTATGTTATTGTGGATGTTTGATTTTTAGTATACAGGTTTCCCTTGCTTTATGCTATACATGCATTCCTGGAAAACAGCACATAACTTGAATTCACGTAAAGGGAACTCACTTGACAATGTAACAAATAGGGATACGTTCCAAGACCTCGACTGTACTGACCCCCAAACCCATTTCTACCACTTTTACAAGACAATTCTGGTACTCGCCAACAGCAGACAGTATGCATAAGCACAGGGCACTATCATAGTGCAGGTGGCAACTACAGAAACACGTGTCGTAAACAACGAGCGAGGAGCACAGATCTACACAGCAGACTATATTCTGGTGCGTGTCACTCCCACAATGCACCACACAAAGCAGCTGACTGCAGGCTTCCACCACACTGATCGCATAAGAATGAACTTACCTTGCATATAACAAATTTTTGGTATAAAAAGGGTCATCGCATAAGAGCGAATTCGCAAATACAGAACCCGCATAAAGCAAAGGAAACCTGTATAATGTTGGGGTTTTTTTCTGGTTTCAAGATAGCAAACCCCCTTCCCAAAAGAAGCATTTCTGGGGGCAAGGAGAGGGACTTCTGGTGGCATAGATCAGGGGCTAGGAGGCACGACTTCTGGTCCCATGACGGTGACCAGGGGATAGGGCACCTGTCAAGGGGCAGGGCTACCCTTGAGGCCCTTGGCAGCATACCAAAACCCATTAAGAAGCCCTCCAGCCAAAATAATTGCCCACCCCTGCCTAAGGGCCTCCCTATACTATGGCAATCTATTTCCTCTCCAACCCAGCCCTGCTGTAGACTCCAGGAATGGAGTACAAGTCAATTTCTCCCCAATCTCATCACCAAGTTGCAGTTTAACAGTTGCAGATATCCAATCCTTTATTATTTCATGGGAACTTTGCACCTGATTCTACCATTTGTTATATTATTCCCATATCTATTCATCTGTATACTGCACGTAGGGTGTAAACTCTCCCACTGCTGTTCTCTTCTGTTGAGAAGAGGGTCTCCTTGTCTCATCTTAAGGCATAAAAGAATTTCAAGTGCCAGAAGCACCTTTTGATATTATTATTATTATTAATAATACTAATAAAAGGTGCTAACAAACAAAATCAGTGCTCCAGGCACACACAGAGGTCTTTAATTACTGCAATTGAAGTCAAAAGCCCAAATAATAGAATTTCTCCTATTCCCATTCCCTCTGATGGACAAAACTATACCACTAAGAATTAAATTTGTATCGAAAAGTCATATTCCCCAGTTTTGGGCAGCTCAGTGTGGCCTTAGGTATTTTATTTGAGGATGAAAAAATGTGTATTGCTAAGTATTGTGCGAAAAGCAAAACATATTTGAGGGGTCCGAGCAAAACTCTCTCTGCTCTAAGTTTA